GTGGACAAACGAATGCAATAATGATTTTACCAATATTCGCATTTAAGGTGCCAACTTCACAAAGCAGCTCTGTAATGTTGAAATCTCTAAATGCGAATTAATTGCCGGGATCATATATATGTATATATAACTTATTTAAAATATAAACACGCGCGATATATTTTAACATATTTGTAAAAAAAATGGGTGTAATATATATCTTTAATGTTAATACTTTTAAGCTTAATAATAAACATCACGCGCATGGAAGTAAGCATACATATATGTAGTTGCAGGGAGGAATATTTATTCTGATCCACATTTTATGTAGCGCGAATACGATTATACGAACCGCGAATATCTACTTACCATCAGTCTTGAAAAGTATATGCGTTATCCTCAGAATAGTGGATCTGGCATGTAGTTCACATCCACTTTTGCAGTGGGCAGTAGTGCGCGGCAGTATTTTGTGGTTACAGGTTTTAGATCGTTATGTCCTCTCTCAGGTTTCTCTCTGGTAGAGACACTAAAGGCATGTTGTGTATTGTTTTGGGTATTTATGGAGAAAACGGCCAACCTCACCGATTTTAATGAAACTATAGGCTCATTCGACGCGTTTTTGCACGAAACGAAAGAATCTGGCAGAAAAAAGTGTCGCTCTGCCCTACGAACCGAGATATTAAGCGTTAAAGTTGACGACTATTTAGGTTAGGAAATCTGTCATACCGACTACATGTAGTGCACTTCTACGATTGTACTGTCGGGGCAGACCTCTGTCACCTCCCCCTCCCCCCCTGCTGAGGGGCGCACGACTTCTACGATTGTACTGTCGGGGCTGGGCATTCATCTTAATACGATCTTTTAACAATTATAACAAAAGAAAATCTATTTCAGATTTCGTTACATTTTTCACTTACCAATCAAACAACTTAACGCATGCGCACAAAGTCAGAGAGCATGAAGAAGGCATATAATAGGTCGCGTTCCGTTTCACGCATATGCGCGCATTCCACTATAGTATACGTGACGTTCACTATATAAAATGCGCGCATATGCCTGAAACGGAACGCAGCCACTCGTAACACTACATGTAGTCGGTATGACAGATTTCCTAACCTGAATAGTCGTCAACTTTAACGCTTAATATCTCGGTTCGTAGGGCAGAGCGACACTTTTTTCTGCCAGATTCTTTCGTTTCGTGCAAAAACGCGTCGAATGAGCTTAGTTTCATTAAAATTGGTGAGGTCGCCCGCTTTCTCCATAATTACCGTATTTGGACACTGTCTTCTCTAAAGATTATTCTCTGTTTTTATTCTATTAGATCGAATATAAAATGTTATATACACAGAAGCTTTGTACCTGTAATATAACTTCCTGGTTATCAAGAAGGACCAGGCATATCATAAATGTATATTGTTCAACATTGACTAATGACAACTCATCTGTGCAACAAAAAGAAGCTATTGATATTCAAGAAACGAAGGAACTGATTGAAATAAAAACAGAATTATTGAAAATAAAGAAAAAAAGCAAATTAATGGAATATATCGGACAATCTATATCACATGATAAAGAGATTTTGGACATTATTAATTATGTACAAAAAACTAATCCAGATATAAGTGATATCATTCAATTATTTAAAGAAAAAAATATGTTATTTAGAAAAGTGAATGCATCTACATTACATTTGATTAACAAAGATATCGCTGTAAAATATGTCTCTTTGATAAAAAATGACCTCTTGAAGAATATGTGTTATGTTGTTGAATTAAATCCTGGTTTTGGTATATTAACGAGAGAATTATTGAAAGCTGGTGTACCACTAATTCACTTGTACGAAAGTAATTTAAAATTACGTAAAATACAGGAAATGTTGTGTACAAAATATCCTGGAAAACTAAATCTAATTTCTTTTAAAAATTCTAATCTCTTTGGAATAACAAGAGTGTTTTTCGACGATAAAGTCACTGATGAAAAATATGAAGATAATTTTAAAGCAATAGATAGCAAAAATTGGGAAGATAAAACTTACATGCAAGTAATAGGTGCATGTGATAATACAAATTTATTTACTTTTATTATACACAATTTAATCTTTCGCAATGGTTTTATGTTTTATGGAAGGCCTGTCTTCTATATCGCGATACTTCCATCTATGTGGAATGTTAGTATATACATTCTTTTTTTTTAGGACTATACTTGATAAAATTACACTAATATTTGATTGTAATATGTTTTAGAAATATAATATGTGTACTAGTTTAAACATATATACTTATACAAAGGTGATGTTCAAATTAATGTTTAATTATGAACTGCTGGGAACATTGAGCAGGAAAGCTTTTATACCTTGGTCGACAAAGAAACGTAACTTTAAACGAACTTCAGCTTTGTTATCGGCAAAACAAAATTACAACCAGCTATATGTGATAAAACTTGAGCCCAAAACTGATATTTACTCACAATTATCGCCAAAAGATTGGATAACATTTTCCTATTTTGTCAGGCATCACATGCAGAAACGCCGTACCAGAGTGATACCTTCATTGGAGTAAGTATGAAAAAACCTACAAGAGTCACTCTGTCTTGTAAAAGACAGTCTAAGTAAAATATTGTTTGTTTTAAAGAATTACATTTTGCTTTACAATTATATACTGTTTTGCCTCTAGAAAATGGATACCAGACTGTGGAATTAGACTCATAGCCAAAGATTACACGATATATACACAATTTGGAGACTTAACGCCAGAACAAATACTGGAACTCTTTAAAGAATTTAAATCCTGGCCAGAATACAAAGAAAGCCATTTCATAGATTCTATGAATGACTCTGTAGGTGCACATAACGAATTTGAATTTTTTAACGAATGATCTTGTAGTAAAGTTTTTATAAATATATAATTGTAAAAAAAAACATCTTTCAACATTTTAGAATATTTCGAACAGTTTTAGCTTTCCTCTTTTCTCAGAAATTTAATCGATTCCTCTCCTCCTCTTCTCTTTTTCTCCAATTCCTATATCATACGTAAACAGCTTCTCAGATTACTCTCATGCATATGTAAGAACTTGCTAGTGTATTAGTGAAAAAGATCATCACTCTGGTCAGTATACTCTTTCATTTTCTTTTGTTTCACAGTGGTTAGCCTTGAAACATCATAGTTGCCGTTACATCGCTCAGTATAATTGCGCGTATACGTTCGAGAAAATCTTAGATCTTTGTCAAATTCACAAGTTCCTACTTGTTACTAACATCTATGTAATATTTCTATTTTATTCTGCTTTTACCAGAAAGGAAACGGTGTGTTGCTAAGAATTGTAAGGAATCCACTCATTATAATATTGAAAGTATCAATTAGAACTGGAATGCAGTTGTTTAATGCAGATAAGATTACTAATGACTATTCAGATTTATAAGATTTTTTTTTAGTATATATCTATTTTGCTGATATCTCTCTTTTTTAGTTTGCTAGTGAAAGAGATTGGAAATAGATGGAAACGTCTTTGACATCTTTTCATTATTTAATCAGTTAATAATATTTATTCTCTATATATTCTGGCTTTAATTGATTTTTATATATTAATAAATATTTTCTATTTTCTCTGTTTACACTTAACGTTTATAAAAATATATGTATAATTTTCTCAGCGGTTCAATCTTGTTCAATATCGTCAAGATGAAGTGTTTGTACGTCGGTTTTATATTTTTCATATGTAACCATGTGACATGGAGTCAGGATTTAGCATATCCAACTGATGAGGAGACGTCTCACGTCAGTGGTGGCAACTCTACGGTAATATTGATACAACATTATATAAAGCTTTTGTTCTCATACAAACATTTCCGCAGGTAATAGATGACCGTATACCCATATCAATACCAGGTCGTTGCCCAAAAGACATGCTTCTCTATCCAGGAGATAGTGCAAAAGATGCCTGGGTGTGTGATTGTAGACCTCGATTTTTATATTTTCCGTTGAACAATTCCTGTCACGAAGCCTACAGACAAGGTCCTTGTCCACCCAAGAATTATGTTGTTCTTCCTGAAGATGATGCGATCCCTCGTTGCGTGGAAAATCCTTGCTTCAAGGATGGCGAGGTTCCATTCAATGGCACATGCTATCCCCTTAGAACAATAGGCGGTCCATGTGCGCCTAATGGAGTAATAGGTGTAAACGAAACTACCTTCCAATTGGAATGTGTAGAAACAGATATTGCACCTTTCATAATAATTGACCCTCCCTCAAGGACATGTCCACCAGGTAGTCGTCGAAGCACACTCGGAGTATGCAAAAAAGTATGAATACATAAGTATCGTAATTCAGTTTGTCGCATATTTTCTATTTCGATATCTTATATACATTTTGTATGATTCAACATATGAGATATATTACAATGTCACGTATATTCAATTTTCCAGGTTAAACGTTATAATAGAGTACGTCGGGTTGCATCAGGATAATTTCGATAAATGTAAAAATGTGTATTTTGTATTGTAATTTATGTACAAAATTACATACTTTATAATAAACATACTTAAAGAACATTAAATAAAACATAGGCATCAATAACAAGTATCTGTATTTTATATCTTAATTTGAGTCTATTCTAAATTGCACATGGATATAATTAGATACATATACATATATACATATGTATATAGTATACTATATAACTAAATCAGAAAATTAATAATAATAAATCAGAAATATATTTAAAAAGCAATTGTGTTATATTGCTATATAACTTTCATTACTTATTATATTCCTATAACTATACTTACATTCATTCACATATAAATGATAATATATACATTGTTGACACAATTTCTTTCTACAAATCTTATATATCTAAACTTAGAAAAACGACTAAAGACAAAATATATATATTAAGGATTTTAAATAAATTTTCTTCAATTATAAATAACAATAACAAATTTGTAAATTTTAAAAATATTTTACTATTATACTAATCTTTTAATAAAAAATTTGCTATATTTTTTGTAAAATCTCTGGTATATTCTTTATAAATCACTTTATCGATATATAACTCTGCTCATAGTAATTATTTGCGCTTTAAAATTAATAAAGAATTTCACGCAAATACGTTCTTTGAGATTTAGATCTGGTTTGTCTTTGCAATTAACAAACACACATTATTAAAATTACCCTGAGAAACAAATGTCAGGCCACTAACTATTAATTTGGCTGTTACTACTGATTATTCGTGGTAGCTTCTATTAATCTTTGCCTTTCTCTATACATGGAAACTTTCATATTTTCTAGCTGATGGTACCTTAACAGTTTTAAAACAGCGAAAACAGACAAACCAACCCAAATCGACAAGCTGCTCCAAATACCAAATTGAGCAGCACCAAGTTCAATATGAAAACCTGATGTATCAATATCATCAGCCTTATCAATAGCATTTCCAGCTGCTAATTCACATGATGGAAACCTCTTGGTCATACATTGACACCAAGTTATGAAACCTAAGGTTACAATAATCGCTGCTACTAAGGTCAGAGTGACGAGAAAGATGGACGTTACAACGTCTACAAATGCAGAGAGAAATGAACTGTCTTCGCCGTGCCACATAAACATAGACAATCGGTAGATCTGTATAGCCGATGTTATGAAGAGTACCATGCCTACGAATATCGTATAATTGCAGTATAACCGTGACGCCCAATTTACTACAAACTGGCCATCTGGCTCCTGCCATACTCCGGTTGAAAACAAAAGACAATGTCCCCTAAAAAAAGAAACAAAACTCGTGATGTATAATAAAAAAATTCACGATTGTCATATCGAGCCACGATTTTACCTAAATTCTTCTTGATGCAGACTCATAGGCACGATGATGCAGAGCGATAGAATAAGGGCCACGACATAGCCTGCTATTTGACTGAGCAGCAAAATATTTAACAATGCCATATTGTATGTACGGGACGATCGAACGAGAGTATCTCACGAAAAGCAAACGTGATTATGATAAAAACCGGAATTCATGCATTCTATTTCTTTCATTGACACAGCATAAACACAGATCGATCATCAAGGACGAACGATTAATTCAGATCAGATGTCTGTTTTCTGTGACTGAATTGGTGTATGTACACTTTTAAAACTTAAAAGTAAGACAGGCATATGTTTGATATTTTTGTTGAAAACGAGAAAGAGAGTTCTAGTGCAGTTTAGTGCAGGAACAGAAAACAGACCACCATGATGTTCGCACTTGTCAAAATGCGAACTTGTTGACGGTGTGGGTCATCAATGGGTGCGGTTCACGTGAAACTACAAAATGTTTCGAAGCTTTCGATTGACCATTTGGAAGAAAGAATTATACTAATTGACCAATCAAAAAATGGGGGTACATTCAGCGGACTCAACAGTTGAGTGAGCGCTCAATGTTATTGGTGCATTCTTCTAAATCTAAAATTCTGATTGGATGATCTAAAAGAATACTCCAATAACAACGAGCGCTCACTCAACTGTTGAATTCGCTGAACGCGCCCAAACTTCAAAGCATTCGTAGTATCAGTGGATTGTAGTCAATTGAAAGAAGCCTTTTCCCGGAAGACTAGTAAATTACGGAATTTTTAAATGAGTTAGGAACACACACATAAAATATAAAAAAAAAGAGGTAAGTTCTCTCTCGGAATAATCATAAACTACGACTTTTGTAAGAATGCAGTAACAATAAAAGGAATAAGGAATACAAAATTTCAACCTATCAGAAATCGAATACATTGGTATACATAACTTATGAGAGGCTGAAATTTCTGATTCTATTGTGGCTGCACCCTAATGGGCGCGTTCAGCGGACTCATAACAGTTGAGTGAGCGCTCGCGTGTTTTAAGCCCTAAGCTGTAAGAAATTAACTAATTACAGTCGAATTCGAGGAGAATAATCGACTATGATTCGTCCATTCCTTATAGCTTAAAACTCTATTGTAGATCCGGGCTTATTGGTGTATTCGTTTAGATCATTTTACGTGAACCTATCAGATGAGGAAATAGTTTTAAAAATATTCCCTCGTTTGAGATTGCGATTTCCTTTAATTTTATGATTACATGAATGTGTAATGATTGCAAAATTTTAAATATTATATTTCGTCATGCTAATACAAGACCTCTAACAATCGTAAACGCTCTATAATTATACATATATTATAATTTAATTTTATAATATTCTTGTGTGTGTGTGTGTGTGTGTGTGTGTGTGTGTGTGTGTGAGAGAGAGAGAGACCTTTTTTGAGACAGTATGACATTGCTTAATTCTTTTTGCGCTTTGTGAAAGTAAAATGAATCTTTTATGTATTTTGTAATATATACATATTTTATAATACGAACAAAAAAATTAGCAAAAATAAAGAATAACAAAGTTCTTTATATCAAAATTATGAATAATAAAGTTGTAAGTATTCTTGAATTTAAATAAAGTATCAGCATATCAAAAAATTATTAATGCTTAATTTACTATTTTAATGCTTAATTTGCAATTTATCATAATGGATATTATCATAGCAAGAAAAAATATTTTTTAATCAATTGATAACGTAAAATCCTTCATATGTAATTTTCCAAACACCTCTACTTATTTGAATCTAAACTGTATTATAAATAAAGTTATATCTTTTCTAAAATATTTAATAATTTATCAATAGAATCATGAAGCATCCAACTCAAATCCATATATTCTTTATGTCCTCTCTCTTCAGCTCCCTCTGTGACTTTCTTTTCTAAAATACTTAGCATCTTATCCAGAGAATTAAAAAGCATCCGAAGGAACTTTTTATTTCCTTTACGTCTTCTCTTTTGAGCTTCCTCTGTGAGTTTTTCTATATTTTCCGTTAACTTTTTTACTGGAACTCTTCGAGGAATTTTCTCTAAATAAAATAAAGACATTATTATTGCATATAATTATGTTAACACATTTTACATACTATAAACATCCTAATTATTATATAATCTTAGGATTCGAAATTATTAATTTATTGAAACTTACATAATTTTATATAGAAATTTGTTTAAAAATATTTATGATTAAAATTATAGAAAACTGTTTTATTATTTGTTTTACTTAAATTAATAATATATTGTAAAATATAAAAATTATAAATAAATGACTAAACCTAAATAACTAATTGGATTATTCATCCTACTTATAAAAGATATTATCTTACTAGGTGGTGTTATGTCTTCCTCTTTGTCTTCTGAAGATGAGCATACAAATTCTATATATGATCTTTTTCCTGTTGATGATACAGTGGTTACAGATGACAATAGATTAAATAATTTATTAATTTATAAATCATTTTCTTGGATTATTTTTGATAATTCTTTGATATCTTTTCTATTGACTTGATAGAATTATTATTAATAGAATTAATTATTGTTACTTGTATAGAAATAATATAACAATAAATAAATTTGTCAAAAAAAATAAATATTATATTGTGTACTATTGTATAAAAAAATTTAGAAAAATATACCTGGTTTTTCTGGGAATATTTCTGATTTCTCCATTGACTTTATTTCTGTAGAATTATTATTGTTACCTGTATAGAAATAATACAACAATAAATAAATTTGTCAAAAAATAAATATTTTTATATTATGTACTTTTATACAATAAGTATGACGGACTATATTTGAGAGTTGTTGATGGGTTTCCAAAGAGAAGGCCTAACATTAGTTGTTTTATACAATAGGCAAAAAAACGGACTTTCACATAGCCTTATTAAACTTACTATCTGGAGACACGATAGTGGTGTCTCGGTGTACAGTGCCCGCGAAACAAACACCCAACAAAGATGCATCCGTCCAAGACAGGTACAATATGCAACACAATGCAACAAGAAGCCTGAATCTTTCGAGCATAAAGAAGAAAAAGAAGAAGGTGATTAGGTGATGCAATAAGACTTCAAAATTCAAAACTTCTATTTTGGAAGAAGGGACGACAGACTCTTTACCATCGCCGCCACCTGGCTCTGTGACACCAAAATTGGAACTAAAAGGGTCACGTGACTAGTAGTGGGGATATTTAAACCTATACGCGCATATCCATTTGAATATAACAGGTTATAAGTTCCTGAATGATGTGTTCACTAATGTTATTAACATTATTTAAGTTTGCATTATTTAACATAGAGAAATATACTATTTCTCCACACATCTAAAATATAATGCAATCTTAAAAAATGTTAATAACATTAGTTAACACATTGCTCAGAAACTCTATTAACACATTTTGTATTCAGATTAATACATAAAAAGGTGTTATCTAATATTAAAACTTCTTTTTTTATTTTTATTATTATTTATTTAATAAATATATATGTTTTATACATTTTTTATTAAATATTACTATAAATGTTAAAACTATTTTTCGCTAATTTTATTTTATTTTTCTTTTATTAAAAATATAATGCAGCACATTTTTCCGTCCCACTTATTATATTTACAAACTGCCGACTGTCAGATATAAAAAATTGAATACGCGGTGGGTTAAAAAATGTGATGCAATTGTATGAAGATATGAATGTAATAGAAAGTATTAATGTAAAGAAAAAAAATGAGAGAGAGAAAGAAAGAGAGAGAGAGAGAATGAGTGAGTGAGTGAGTGAATGCAAAAAAATTTTTTTAAATTAACATTTTATTTTTCATAATTTATTTATTTTACATAATTATTCACGTAAAATGTTTCTTTCCGACATTCCTACGCGCACGAACCCAAAGCAAACTCTTTGGAGTAAAAAAAAGCTCAAAAAAGTGTATGGGTTAGATCAATTTATACTGTGGAACAACGGCTTTTTCAAGGAGACAGTGACAATTTAATTACAATGTTAATAACTGACCCATCGTTGTATTTTAATTGTTTTAGAATACAGATGGACATTTTTGATAAACTGTTTACCTTAGTGGGGCCTAAAATTGAAGAAGAATGTAAATAATTAAGGGAACCAATTTCCTCTCGAAATGGCTTGAAATTTGCATTAGATATTTAGCCAGTGGTGATAGTATGATCGAAGTTATGGCTCCAGCACACTGGACGCGGAAACGCTTGCCGCACGGCAAAATGTGACACGGTAGCCAATGAACATGTTAGGAGCTGTAAGCTCATTGGCTACCACGTCACATTTTGCCGCGCGGCAAGCGTTTGAGCGTCCAGTGTGTTGGAGCCATTAGCGTTTTCGATTAACCAACTCGACCCGACTCCGGGTCGGGTTGACTTCGATCACAAGTTCGATTTGAGACTCAGATTACTTACATTAACCTGCACAGTATCATGGCGGAAGAGTTGTCTTCTATGACCTCAATAATAATACCTCAGAAATAATCAGAAATTATTTAAGATTGGCATATTCTATTAGATCTAAATATATAAACCAAACAGGTACAAGAGCTCATTGAGCGCTCAATGAGCGGTCGTGCTTCTGGATGCACCCATTGCATCCGACTTTCGTTGTACGACTTTGCAACCAATCAGAAAACAGGATTTTGCTTCGTATCGATAAACGATTTTTCTGATTGATTGCAGAGTTATCATACGATACGTATCGGATGTAGTGTGAATCCCCTACATTACGCCGCATGTGCTGGCACCTTGATTGATCAATTTTTAATCCAAATCTCAATTTAAGAGAACATCGTCAATCGCGACGATCGCGACGTCTGGTGTGCGACGAAGATACTAGGCATACAGAAAACATCATCTGATTAAACTGGAACTGATGGGACGGACGGTAGTGGTGGCGCGATTCGCGCGATCTCAATCGACAGCCTCGGCAGGCTTTGCACTGTATTGTGCCTGATAGCACTGATTGGTGCTAAGCGTCATGGACGCGAGCGGTGCGCGTGTGAGAGCTGCGATTCACTTGTGTAGATCAGATTCGCCACGCTGTTAAACCGCACGTTTGTTCGACGTCGAGATATGCCTCGCGACAACGAGCCTGTCGCGACGAGATGATACCATATTACAGACGCGACACGCTGAAATTTTTGGAATAGATCGCACAGACTGGGGCTCCGCGGGGCGATGAGCAAAATGTCTTGGCTCGGTTGGTCGGCGGACATCAAGAAGAGGGCCTGTAGATACCTGCTGCAGCGTTACCTCGGTCAGTTTCTCGAGGAGCTCACATTGGATCAATTGACCGTCGATCTATACAATGGCACTGGACGCGTCGTCAACGTCAGCCTCGACGTGCAGGTAAACAACATGCTTTTCTTTGTCTCGGGAGGTCGATTGTACAATTCCTTTCTTTCTTCCTTTCTTAACCAAACTCTATAAAGATAATATATCGCATATTCGCCAAACATCGTGCACATTCATCTAAAATATTATAGAGATTAAATATTTACGTCGCTGCGCGAATATCTCGTATTCGCGTTACCCAGCTTCGAATCAAACAGCTGATCGCAATTTATAATATTCGAATGCTTCGCAGAACACTGTATACTTAATGATATGATGACTAATCGCTGTTTTTGTTTTTAATATGTAGTGTTTTTAATATGTAATAGATAGAAAATATGTCAGAATGAAAATTGATTAGTTTATAATAGTTAATGTAGAAAGAGAACAATTGTGTGTGTAGAATTAATTCTGTGTGTGATTTGTGTGTGTGTGTGTACGCGCGCATATGCGTAATATGTACGCGTGAGATAATACGATAAATATGTATGAACAAATAAATAGCACACGTTGAAATTATATATTTATTAATTTGATCGTGATATTTATTTCTTGTATTTTTTAATAAATGCCACATCATACATTTGTCTATTTCATTATATTTTTTTGATTGTATAAACTTTGACATTTGGCCCTAGAATTTTTTTTATTAATAGATAAATAATAAATTTTAATTACATATTAACTGATTATTGAAGCAATAATTATAATAAATTGTTAAGTTGTAATTGGTTACAACTTGTGCGTAAATTAATGAAACACAGCATAGCGCCAGTCATCGGTAAACACCATTCTGGATGTTAATAAATGCTAATTTATACAGGCTCTATTTCTTCGGTTTCTATTTCCTAACGCGATTGAATTGTTCCTTTACTTGTAAAATGAGAACGCCAATTGTTTTCACTTGCATAATAAATAGTGATTGTTCACTTATATAATAATTATTTATTTTTTAATTTAGTACATATAATTGAGAAATATTTCTAAGAGATTAAACATTTACAGGCACTCAATGAGATGGGGGAGCAACAACATCTCCCACTGGAATTTGTCGACGGTTTTATAATGGAAATATCTCTTAGTATACCATGGTCGGCATTACTTAGTCAAGCAAGTTATGTAGAAGTTAAAGGTCTCAGACTTACGGTACAACCTCGACAAAGAATTGAAACAGGAACATCGATGTTTGAATCTATGTGGAGTTCCATGACATCCAGTATGCAACTCGCTCAGGAGTGCCTGCAACAAGACGCAGCTAATGCGGGAAATGCTCAACCCTTAGAGGCAGTGGAACTATTTGCACAGACTATAGATTCAAGTATGATACTTGATTTACATTGTACTTTTAAATTCAAAGCTTAGCTCTTTTATCATTCATGTATCTCTCAGTTTTATCTAGGGTCAAAGTGAGATTTATCGATACTGTGATACGTTTGGAACACGTACCTTTGAATTCTTCCACGGGAGTAGCGATCGAAGTGTGGATACAGAATCTGGAATATTCTGATGAGGCTGGATTAGATCCTAGTAATACGTCTCTGGATCCTAACGAATCTGCGAAAGGTTACATCATTTCAGCGTTCTCCATTAAGCGATTTTACATGGAGGGAGTAACTTTTCATACTGATGAATTTCCCTCGCACGCGAGAACGTTTTCCAGAAGTATGTTGGCTAGTACATGCTCTACTCCCGATTCTAAGGTAAAGGTCCGTTTTAGTTGATATTGTAATGGAAAAGAAACAATTTTCAGAATTTGATTTTTTTTTTCTGTGTCAACAGAACTCGGACAGTTTATTTACCTCCGCACAAATGTCTCCTACCCAGAGCATTCTGCACACTCCTCCAGATGGAAACACTGTTAACAACTCGAACGAATCAAATCCTGTCATGTTTGCTAAGTTAGCAGGTAGACAAGAAGTGAGATTAAAAATGAAACAAGGAGAAGGAATATCGGGACCAAAGGTGCAGTAAATTCATGCTTTGAATTCAAAAATTAGATATAGTTCTGATCTTTCTATTAAAAAAATATATTTATTCTAAAATATAATAATACATTTTTTTTATTCACGTTTAGTTTTTTAAAATGAAGAAATAATATATACTTTAGGTAGAACTGGAGATTACTTTAGGATCGCTTACTTTGTTTCTAAGTCCTAGGCAACTTCATGCTTTATTAGAATTAGCGCATGGCCTAGCATCTCCAGATCTAGAAGATGTCAGTAATGTTATTCCAAGAAGATACACGGAGAAACCTATGGCTAGCAGTGATTTCAATCGTATAGAACGTGAGCTTATCCATCAAACACATCCCATGCAAGATTTAAAAACCACAGTACGTTAATTTATTAATACTTTGACACATACTTATATTTATACAACAAAAATATTATGTTTATATAATAGGATCTACGATACGCTCAAGGATGGTCTACTGGATCTGTCGACGAATCTGATAACGAGGACGAATTCCTGCCAATGAAATTGGCGGGATCTACATCGATGTGTGATTCAATCACAAGCAATAATTTCAGTATGGAGGGTAGCATATCAATCAGCAGCATTAGTTCAAAAAGTTCAGCAACGAATCTGCCAAGACATAATAGACACAGACACAACATAGACAACGACACGTCCGCCGAAACTATCCAATTTCACATAAGGGTGTCTTCCGTCGCTCTAAT